TCCTGGTTTTACTGCTTTCCTGCCTTTGAATACATACTTTTCAGGAAGTATCACTTGGACACAATCTGTTCCCAAAAAATCCATGTTAGCTGCTTGTCAGATGGTATTCAAGCTGATGAACATTTTTTCCCTGCAGTTTCTCCAGGCTACAGAAGTGCCAGTCAAGATCCAGACCATGAAAAGAACCAGCAACGATTTAACCCTCATGAAGTGAACTTCCCAAACTAAACCTTTTATAACAGTGGTGCATAGTTCCACATTCTTGAGAGGGACCTTGAGCTTTCACAATTATTTTCATTGATCACTGAAACCAATTTGAGATTCTGTTTCATCAAAACTGCTGTTTCTGCACCACTCAAGGTGCTGGCCAGAAGCTACAGAATCCTTTTTACCTCCCCATTTTTTGTGACTCTGAAGATGGCTGTTCTGATGTAGTAACTTGTCCCCTTGAAGCACAGGCAGACTTGAATCACAGAAACCAAAGCCATATGACAGCTACTTAGCTGGGAGTACAAAGACATTTAAAGCTGGATCTATCATAGCTATTAAGAAAAAATCTTTTTTGGGTAAAAACCAAGAGGAAATGTTTCAACACTGTACTTTTTCTCCCAGATGCCCCTTCCTCACCCAAATGGAATTGGAATTAGTTCTTGGATAAACAACTGGAATCAGTTCTTTAAAAATAACTAGGTTAAGGTATACCTAGTCAGTATACTCTACACCATAGTCAGGAGTACAGCACCTCCTGGCACCACAAGACACTTGTTTCAAGACCACAGGAATGTTCCTGCAGGAAGATGCTCAATCCAAGGCTTCTGGTTCACTGCTCCCCCCAGGTTCTGGCTCCAGCCACACATCCTTAAGCAGACATGGAAGAGAAGGGCTCTGGAAAACCTCCTCCTACAGAAGAACAAACTTCTGGCCAACACACACACACCAGCACAGAGAGCCCCTGTGTTAGGGCTGAACCCTTATGATATTGCCCAAAAAATCCTACTACAGTCAAGTAAAGCAATATGAATATAACTAAATCAGCATCATGAATACATCAGAAGCCTTGACTTAAATCTATTTAAATGTGTAGTAATTTCCAAAAGCATTTTAAGTTCCTATAAACAAATAATTTTTTTTTACTGACAGAGGACTGATACCAAAGAGGACACATGAAGGCCTCTCCTTCTCCCAGTAACACATCACAGCTCTTTGCAGGCCTACTCTCCAGAAGACCACCTGCTGTAACAGTCCCAGTTTTACAGCCAGGCAATAATGCAGACAGAAAATTATTAAAAGTATGTGATATTGGCCAACTTACTTTGCTTCATCTTCTGCAAGTCACCAACTCTGCTCTTTGGAATTTTTATACTATCTGTCTCAATTTTGTGTTCTTTCTGATTTTCCATATTTTCTTCAAAAGTTAAGTGCTGGAGAGAATTGGGAGGTATCTGCTTCACAATCTCAGCATTTCCATCATTGTCACTGTGCAAACCTACAGAGTGAGGAAGTCTCTGGTTTTTATATGGTTCCAAAAGAAGGCTGCAATGTTATCACAAAAGATGATTCATCACATTTAAATATGCAATCAATCCTAACCTGTTACCTTCCCAGCTGATTTTCTGTAGGCACTTAAGTGCTTGATGAAGCCCAGAGCAATAATATGTTTATGCATTTTTTTTTTATCCTCCTGCTGATTCTGCTTTTCAAACCTACCAAGCACCATTTATTGTTTCAAGAGCTGTGATCCAAGGAGAGGGCTGCAGCAGGTCACAGAAGTTATGCTAAAAATAATAAGCAGAATCACAGGGTTCCATAACCAAGGACTACAGACAACCCTGGTCCCCTTGAAATGCACATCAGCCTTCTGTCAATTAACTCCAAATTCCATGAGGCAAGCTTTTCACTTGCTGTCTTTTATGTTTGCTCATTAGTAAAAGTAAAAATGAAGGACTACCTCAGAACAATAAAAATAAATTAACTGTTTAAAAGGTTTGACATTTGAAAATAATAAACTTTAAACATGGATATGGACTTTGAGATCACTAACTCTGGCATTCTAATCTGCTTGTGTACACACTGCAAAGGGAAAGGAATTAAGAAGTACTTCTAGGGCCTTTTTTCAAGAGAACCAATAATGGGCAAAACAAAACTTGAAGCTGGTGATGATGTCACAAATACACAGGGACTTCAGCAGGACAGAGCTGGAATGTGCCACGTGCAGTGCAGACGTACCCTAATGTTCTCTCTAAATTAAGGCAAAGACACTTCATCCACAAGCATGAAATAAAAGTCTGTTTTCTGTGGATTTGTGTCCTTTCTACCTGCAGTTTTTCTAAACCTTTCACTGCAGTACTCTTAGCTCTCTCAGGTCCCAAACCGCCTCCTCATCACCCCCAAGAGAGCTGCTCACCAACAGAGGGCATGGAGCAAGTGACAGTGTCGCTGTTCAACCCCCCATTGGCTGCCAACAAATCAACAATCAACTCTTGATGGTGTGTTGTAACCCTGTCTAATTAGTACCTCTCACGAGGAGGATTAGTTTCAATTACTCTTCTCTGTCCAGTGGAGAAATCTTGAAGCACTTATCTTGGAAACTCTCTGATTTGGCAGGAGTTGGTCACAAGGCTCAGAACTGAGTGTGTGTGACACGAGACTCCACAAGCAGCAACCTCAGGGCCTCAGGAGGCCAGACCAGGAACACACTGGTCTTGTATCCTGCAGAAACTGGCCCTTGTTTTCTTTTTGTGACCACAAACATGGAAAAGGGGCTGCCCCCCTACATCTAACACTCATTATAAGGTAGCAGACATTCATATGGAATTTTCCAACCAAATGGTGACTTAACAACTACCAAGAAGAATTTTACCTGGTGCCAGATTTGGAGCATGGGGCTGTTCAGTTGGGAGATGGACAACAGGGTGATGAGCTTCACTCTTAGGAGCTGAAATAAGTGGCTTCTTTAAAGCTAAGATAAAAGACAAAGACAAAAGCATTTACATGAAACAGACACTGGATACCAGGCCTTCCTCTAACAATCCTGTAAACAATTTCTTGTCCTTTTCTTATTTTTAAACCATAGACAAAAATAAAAAATCACAAGATTTCTGGAGGATAAAAAGGGTATTATCAGTCTTGAGAATTCAAACCTCCCAAGCCCAGCAGAAGTTACCAGATTTTACACCCCACTTGAATTTGATTACCACAGACAGGTTTTAAACTTTGCATTCACTTTGAAACACCCTGTACTCACACAGAACATACACACCACCAAAAGCCCAAATTTCAAAATATTAGAAAATTTCTCCTAACCAGTGGGAGTATCTTCAGCTTTAGCAGGGTCATTATCTTCTATTTCAGGCATGCCTGCATCTCCTCCTGGTTTGATTTTCTCTGCAAGACAAGAACAGGATATTCTGCCTTATTAACCTTTATGTCTGAGCAGTGAATTTCCTTGATGTGGAAGGCTCTGAGAGCAGCAGAAGAGTCTTTTATCCCCAGCACTGAACCAACACAGTGAGCACACAACTGTGCAAGAAACTGCTGTCATAGAAGGACCCAGAGAGGCCATCCCACTCTCTGGCTACCCATAAACTCCAGCTTGGTACAGCCACAAGCAACTAAGCAAGTTATCTGAGCCAAGTAATTCATTGTTCTTCTTCAGAGAAATGCACAATTCTGTGTGACAGCAAAGGATACAACACAGCTGGCCCATTAGCTATCAGAAATTAAACATAGATTAAAAAAGGAAATACCTTTGCCATTTACAGCATGATCTGAAGGTTGCTCATTCTGTGCTGTGTTCTTCTCTTCTGCCTCTGGAACAGGCTTAGGTATTGCCTGGTCATCACTATTGGGACCCGTTTCACTGTCTTTACTGGACTGAACTTTTTGTGTGGCCTGTTAAAGTCATGAAGAACCAGTATTAAGCACATTGTTGAAACAAAACCCCTCAAACTCAAGATTACTTTAAGCAAGCAAAGTCACATTTATTAACTAAGTGATCACCTAAAAGTGCAGCAGAAGTTCTCTACATATGAACCTGAATCCTGAGGGTAGGAGGTGAGAGCATGGACACAACTGAACAGTCAGTGCAGAATGCAGCACAGCTGTGTGACTCTTCTGTTGGCTTATGTAGCTCTTCACAGGTTAAGACATCATTGGACTCAGCCTCAGGTTGGAGGCTTTGAAACCATTCTAGATTTTAAGAGATGATCTGATTGAAATCTCCTTCCAGTCTGTCTTATTATTTGAAATGCTTGTAAACTGAGTTGAAGTAAGGAAATTAAATTTTAAGAATAGCAGGTTATTTTACCTGCTTGCAGGAAAGAGCCCATGTTCTACTGGCAGCTCGTGCTGTATAATGACACCCTTGATACCATTCAACCACCTTTGCTATCTGCATCACATTAGCACATACAGGTCTCAGCAGAGATCAGGTTCCCCTTGGCAATAACCTATATAAGGCTGGAAGAACAGATCCTGCCCTGGAGAGCTCTAAGGTAATATCCCTTGGGCTGTAGAAGCTGAAGTCCTTAGCAAGGATGCCATGCAGAAAGGCTGGGGCACAGAATGAAGCTGATCTTCAAGGCTGGGTCCACTGACTGAGCAAACCAGGCAGATGTTCCTACACCAACACCCATGTAGGGCTGCTCAGGAAAACAGTTAATAAAAAGTTATGTCCAAGGCCTCCACAGATCTGAAACCAGGGATCAAACCCCAGACTTGGGGCTCTTCTAATTCCACAAAGCAGCTCAGCTCCACGTTACCTTCTGCTCCCGCACAACTTGGTCCATCAATTTCTTGATGTTTTCCTCATGTTGCAGTCTCATCTCCTTGATCTGCTGCCCACACTGCAGACTGCATTAGAAACACAAGCACATAATTAGTTGTATTTCATTTGTTGTATCTGCTCTCCTATAGATAAAACGGGGGGGAAATATGAAGTGGCACAAAAAGCCAAACCTGAGCTATAACTAGAACAGTCTGTCCAAAACTCCTTGTCCTGGCACATGTATAGAGAGGAAATGGACTGAATACAGAGAGAAAGCAGAACTGGAAAAACAGGGATGGAGCAGAAACACAGGAAAATAAACAGACTGGCCTTGAACATATTTCCTCCAAAACCTGCAAAGTGACTGAAAATTCAAGCTTCAGGTTGATCTGCCTTCAGCATTTATTGATTCCACTCAGAAAGCAAAGCCCTCCCCAGCTGCCAACACAGCAGATGCACAACCCCTGCCACCAGCTACTGCCTCCAACCCACCAACATCTGAGTGACAAGCTGGGTGTCCCTAACAAGCCATGCTGAGATTAACCCACAGCTCCTGTCTCCCACAAACCTGCCAGTACTCAACACAGCACATACAGTGAAGAATACTTCTGTGTGTGTGAAAGTTTAATACTTGAGAAAATGTTTGCATCTCCCCACTCCTCAAAGCTTTCAAGAGCTGTTGTCCTCCCTGCTTCTCCAGCATAAATTTAAAAGGCTGAGGTCAACTACAAATTTCAATATACACAATGCTTTCATCTCCAGTTGAAAATAAAATAATACACTTTTAGAAAGACAGTAATTAACAACCCCAGCAGCTTACAGCCTGTACTCATTAAGCTCTTCCAAGTATTTGTTAACAACTAAAATCTCCATGTTATAAAAAATACGTTGATTTAAATTGTCCAATGCTAAACAATTCTCCTTAGGGAGAGGAGAACACCACCAAAAATAGAACTTCAAAATCAAACAAGGAGCTAAGTCAAAGCTACATCACTAAGTGAGTACAGTCGAGTTTGAGGATCAGCAGAAATAGGATTAACTGGCACTTTTAAATAAATACAGCCTTCCATTCCACACAGATACATCTACAGTTCCTAAGGTTGTTGAAAACATACCTGTCATACTCCAGTCTCCTGGTCAGGTAGGTATTGTTCTTCTTGTACTCATGAAGCTGATCTTCCTGGCGAATGAATTCCTGGCGTAATTCTGCTAGTTGTTCTACACCAAAAAGCAAAAATCAGCATGAATATAGAAATGTAAGAAAAAAATGCCCCATGTCACATACAATTTTCAAGACTGCTATATAAGTTAAAAACTCTTATTTCTTTTAGATTTACTTCAGAGGATTCTTACATTTTCTTGAAAAACATGCCAATTTACTCCTGTGTGCCTGATGTCACCTGGGACTTTTAAAACAATTCTTCAGGAAATATGCCAAACCCTCTGCATTCTTCTTTGCCTGTTCATTCAGAAGTCTTACACAATGCTATTTCACCTATCTGTTGGAAAATTCCTTTACTTCCTGAAGTACTATTATTGTCAGTAACACAAAGGTACTACAAGGTTACTTTAGGCACAAGGGTAAAATATTTATTTTCTGCAATAACAGTGCAAAGGAAGGTACCTTCTCACCACCCATGAAACCAATACACGTTTCCTGTCTTCACCAGTAACTGTTCTAGCAGTTCTCCCTGCTCCCCAGGCTACAAGTAAGTTAAGCTTTTTACTGTTTTAAGTTGCATCTGCAGAGATCCAGGCAGAGACACCAAGTGTGCTGCCTGCAGGCACGTGCAGGTGTTGGCATGAGCTGCTCCAGGTCCTTTTGAGACCCACCCAGTAAGAACACAGGCACTGCACTCATGTCTGTGTACAGCAGCCTTAAAAGACATTTTCTGGACCTTTTCTAGTCCAGCCTAAGTACCACAATTTTGCTGGTCCAAACTATACTAAACTGTGTATTTGGTCTTGAAAGTCATTCTAGTTCTTAGGAAGTAAGGAGAGCCAGAACACGCGTTCCTTCTGCACAGAACAAACCCTACACTCCCCCAGACTTGGCAATAAACAAATACAATGACATTATGTGATGCTCTAGCACCACTTAAGCCTTTAAAATGCACCCTGCAGTTACAAAACACACACCTTCACAGTGTGCCAAAGCCCAGTTTGGCCATACATTCCTTACCCTTTAACCGATTTATGTCTGCCATCTGATAGGAAACATTGTTCTGCAGCTTGATCTGGAAGAAAGAAATTATTATTATAGCTTAGACATTAGGAGGAAATTCTTCACTGTGAGGGTGGTAAGACACTGGCCCAGGCTGCCCAGGGAAGCTGTGGCTGCCCCATCCCTGGAAGTGTTCAAGGGCAGGCTGGATGGGACTTGGAGCAGCCTGGTCTAGAGAGAAGGGTCCCTGCCCATGCAGGAGGTTGGATCTAGATGGTCTTCCAACCCAAACCAATCTGGGGTTCTGTGATTGTATCAATGCAAACAACCAGCAGGTTAGAGAGGGCTTCAGCTGCAAAGACTCAGGTGTGTTTGTTTTCACTGTAAAGACCTCAGATGCAAAGGATTAGCAGAGTGACACATCCAAAGAGTTCTTGTAAATACAAGTAACGTATATTTACTAATCTGTGCGTGGAATCACCAACCTGAATGCTGTATTTAGAATTTACTAACAAGGACTTAAATTTATGTCCAGAATGTATTTCTTCCAAAAAGAGCAGATTCTGTCAGGACTGAAATAAACACACTGGATTCTGATATTGCAGGACAAGATGGAGAATTTGCAGTGTCAAAGCATAAGTGTGTAAAAATAAGCATGCAGCATCATTAGTAAAACCAGCTTTTACCTAATGCGTATTTGTATGTGATGCTACCTAATATTCATAACACATTTTATTTTTAAGAGAGAATCTTACACCAGCAGACTTCCCCAACAGCTTTTAATTTGCTATTTTTAGCAAGGAAAAAATAGCAGTTACAATAAATAAGAAATGAATGTACACAAAGTCATTAAGTAAAAATGTTTTGCCTTGTTCTTACATAAAGGACATATGTAAAGACAAAAAGCAGCAGAAACTAAGAGAAAGACATACATGTAGGACACACAGAGGAAAAAAATCAACAGCTCATCACACAGCACTGATGCTGTCATGATTTTTTCCCTTGTGGCTTCACATGGGTGTAGAGACAACTCAAAGGTGCCACTCCTGGCTCACAGAACTCCTCAGAACACCCAAATGAAGCAGGGACCCACCTCTGCAGGGACCAGGCAGGGACACACACGGGCTGTGCCAACTCCACAGGGAGCAGCTCAACGCCCAGCTCAGTTACCCACATCTCCTGTCAAACAAACCAGTCTGACCTACGCCTTTGTTGCAAGACTTCCCTCACCTGCCTCTGCCCTTCCTCTTTATCAAATCACTCAGTTCTTCAATAACGTCTCACGTGATGTGTTTGTTTGTGGCCCAGCTGGCTGGGTCTGTCCCACCTGGGGACAGAGGTCAGGATTTCCTGCAGGACGGAGCACACAGGCAGGAATCCAGCAGCTCCAGCCACTGAGAGAAGCTCCTTAGGAGACAGTGCTCCATCCAGGGCTGGTCAGAGCCAAGTGCAGTGTCCTGCCTCACCCCCCTGCACACAGGGCAGAGCAGCAAGCCCTGCCCCACTACCCAGGGCAAATGCCAGAAGGGTTTCTGGGGTGTAGGGAGGCACCACAAGGTGGGGGTTCCCTCCACGAGGCTTTTCCCAAGAAAAGAAAGAATGGCAGGTGATGCAAATCTTCTGGTAACCTGAGAACGCTGACCGTGTTGCTCTAAAAATATAAAACCACCTGAGAGGGACAGGGCAGGAGCCTTCCAGGGGTATGGGAGGCACTCACAGAGAACCAGCTACACGTGTCCTCTGCCCACCAAGCTAAGGCACCCTGGCCACAGGAGGCACCAGGAGCCACACAGTTAAATGAAAGCCTGTCTTGGGCTTCCTGTGCTTGACTTCAGAAGCACAAGTCACCCTGCAGTGAGGCTTCAAACAGAAGCACAAGATGGAAGGTAACCACCAAGCCCTTCCATTCCAGCAGCACCCAGCTGGCCTGACCTCCATCCGACCAACACCTGGACTGGGGAAGAGGTTCCAAGAGAGCCACTTCGGGAAGCAGGAAGGAAAAAGTACCTTTCTCTATTTTGCAAAGCCATGGGCAATCATGCCCAAATTTTTCCTGTCTTCCAGTCTAATGCATTTCTTCTCCCAGAACCTGACAAATCTACAAACAAAGGAGATCCTGGAAAGCAGCAGGTTCTGTTTCCAAACCTTCATCTAACAGAACTGGAATCCAGCACACCTTCCCACTGGCTTGCTCCTGCTCCTCTCCTGTAGGTCGGACTTGCACTGGGCCAGGGAGGGCTGCCTGTCTCTTCACAGCACTTTGCTTGGATGATAGCATCAGTTTTATCACACCATCTTTCATTTGGGCGATTTTGAGTTTCAGAGAAAAGTGACAGAATTTACATCCAAAACAGCTCAGCTGACAGCAAATGTCCCTCATCTGAAGGATAGAAAGGAAAGAAGCTTTTTTATGATTCATGGGATCTGTTCCACCTACACATGCAAAACACCACACTCCACAATCCATGGCACAAGTCCAGTTCCTTCTGAGCTGTGTCCCCATGAGTCCAGACCTATGTGTACTGTTCATATTTCTCAGCAGCTTCTCACATCCTTTCCAGAGCAGTTGGGATGATAAAAGGAATTCTCTAGAGCACAATGAGCTCTGCACAGGAAAAACCCACCAAAAATCCTGTGCATGCAGGAGTTATGTGCAGGCAGGGCAGCCTTCCAGGGCTGTCTGAATCTTCAGCAGGCTTGTCATGTAACAAAAGGCTCTGTAAGGAGTCAAGTTCAGAACAGGCTGGAGCTCATCTCCCTGCATGGCAGGAGGGAGCACATCTGGTGTCCCTTCCCGAGGGCTGGGTGGTAAAAGCAAACACCCAGCCCTACCTCCCTGTGTGCCAGCCCTTAATCTAGGACCAACACCCTCTGGATTGCTTGTGGAACCACACGAGCAGCCTCACCAGTCCTCGCACCCCCAGGGCACTGCGAGGACAGGTGCTGGAGCAGCAGAGCAAGGTGGTTAGATGTGTGTGCAGGAGGGTCTGCATGCCACAGCTCCCTCATCTTTCTACTGCTGTCAACTGCCTCTCTCAGAACACAGGGTGCCAGCATCAAGCAATCAGTGCAGTGTCAGGGATGACAGTGGGATCAGAACGTGCAGTAAAACTGGAAGAGGCAGTCAGCATCTTGGCTGCAGAGCTACAGCTTTGCTAACTGAGGAGCTACCAAGGAGCTTTGGCAACACAGAATGTACACAGCTGCTCACGGGAATGTTTAACTAAACAGTTTCCTCCTGTGAAGCACCATTTCTAGACACTAGCCAAGGGGCAAGGCTCTATCCCACACCTGGCATTGCCAGAAATACCTCTGGAATGAGCAAGGCACGTGAGAGCTGCACCAGCACACACACCTACCAGCCCCTACAGGCTGGATGGCTGCCATCTGGAAGCTCTCCACCACAAATTCCTGCCATTCAGTCATTTTATTGAGCTGCTTGCAAAGGGAGGTGTAAAGCTATGGAAAAAAAGAAAAAAAAGAAGAGTATTCTCATGGTTTGCTGCAAAAAAGGCATGAAATGCCCAGGAAATTAATGCTACCTCTGAAGGCATCACCTCTTCACATACTGGGGCAATCACCACCCCTGCTTGCCTCCAGGAAGAGGAGAACTCCTCTCCTTTGTTCCAAGGCCCAGCAGATGATCACAAGCTCATTAAGATAAGCACAGGGCGATAGGAGAAGAAATTCTCAAGAACTCAGCCTTTTTCCTTTTCCTTCCAGACACAAGACACCAGGACACAGCACCACCTCTGCCCATCAGAGAACACCCTATGGTGCAGTGTGACCAGCTTGTCACACATGCCAAGGGAGGGAGGAGCGGGACCAGGGTCTGGGCTTGGCTACAGATCCCACTGAGCTGGCAGGAACCTGCTGCAGAAATCCAAGCTGCCTCCACACTGGGAAACGTTCCCCCTCATTTACATGACCACAAGGCAAAGAATCTCTGATGAAGACAAAGGAGCATAAAGCAGAACTGACCCTATGATAACCACCAGAGCAGCATCGTTCAAATGGGTTTTCTATGAAATGAGCCTGGGTTTGTTGTAATCACCTGATACCCTGGGAATTACCAGTGCTGGTGTTTGATTATAGCTCCTGCCTTTCACAAATGGAGTGAGATCAGTGGTAAAAACCACTTTGTTCACAGAACATCCTTGCCAAATTCCATTTTGAGAAGGATCAAAATTACCAGTCAAGCCTTTTTTGGTCAGACACTTCATGCCTACTACTCTTTTATTTTTTTTAACAAATCTTTGCTCTCCCAAAACAGAGCTTTATTCTCTACTCTCTAAAGTACAGTCACTGAAAGGGATTTTTTAGAAAAAAATTAGGACGGTTGCCACTGAGAACATGAGAGTAGCTCACATGGGAGGGCAAGAGAACAGGACAGG